AATACCTTCATTATATAGGGTACCAAATTGTACTTAAAGTGTCTACTTTTCCCACTAGGCTTGAAATTTCCTTGAGGGTAGAAAATACTGTTTTTGTTGATTCTGGTACCATCAGCACCCAGCACAGTAATCAGCTAAATAAACCATCTCACATCCTTTTCCCTTTCTCGTTGTGATTTAAGAAGCATAGGTGAAATATTGAGATGTGGCTTCCACCAAAACACAAGGATCTTGAAAGCTGTAAACTCAAAGCTGTAAGTGAAAAAGTAATGATGCTGTTTCCAAGTCTTATGACAGAGTATTTCTTCTCTTCTCACTACAGGCTCAGTTGTCAAACGTCCCAGTTCTGGGAAAGGGTCACTGTGGACATCTGGAAAGTTCCTGAGAGATTTCTAAGATTCTAGAGGAACCCAAATCTCTTCCATTTAAAAAGTGATGAATTCCATAGAGACAGAAAGTAGAATGGTGGTTGCCAGAGGTTGGGGGGAGGAGGAAATGGGGGCAGAGGGGTGTGTTATTATTGTTTAAAGGGTACAAAGTTTCAATTTGGGAAGATGAAAATGTTCTGGAAATGGATGGTGATGACTGTTGCACAACAATGTAAACGTACGATGCTACGGAACTGTACACTTAAAAATGGTTAAAATGGTAAATTTTATGTTATATATTATACTTTACCACAATTTTTTTAAAAAATTGATGTATTCATCCATCCCCAGCCAGGGACCAAGCAAAGCAGTCACATAAGCATGCTAGCATGCATACTTCTTTTTCTTATGACCAGACTGAGGGGCAGGTTTAGATAACAAGACCACAGTCAATATTCTGCTGGAAGTATTTGGCTCTCTCTCTTTACTCTTTGAGTGCCTTATGTCTGATGGTGAAAATTATTAAATTTACTACTTGTCTGGCTGTCAAAGTACTTAATGCCTTAGTCCTTCACCTTCCTTTCTCCCTGTCTCCGAGATTCCCTCCTATGCTCTATCTAGAAGCCTGCTTCACAAAATGTCCTCAGTTATATCAGTGACATTTGTCATTGCAACTGCCACACAAACAAGCCTATTCCTGCCAGGTAGATTCCCATCTACCCTACCTCCCACCCTATATGGTGGGCTCTCTACTCACACCCATATTTCTTAGGACAGCAAATCATGCTTTCTCCTCTTCAACCCACTTCTTAATTCATAGGCCCATGCAAGCATTTTAGTAATACCTTAACTGTTCATCTTGTCCCATCTGTTTTTCCACACAGATTTATCTTTTACAAAAAATCTTTGAGAACACCACTTTTACCTTGACATTTCCTTTTTTAATGTCAATTAATGATGATGAAGATGATGACAACAGCAACAACACAGCAGCAGCAGGAGCCAACACCTGAGGGCTTACCATGGGCCAGGTACTCTATTCAGCTTTAGACACATCATTACCTTATCTAACTCTCAAACAGACCCATGATGTACATACATTATTATAAACATTTCATAAATGACAAAACAAAAGCTATACTGCAGGGATTATTATTCCAGGGTCTATAAACCTAACAGGTCTGTGAATGTCCTTCAAAAGAGCATGGACCCCCTCAAACGGCAATGCATAAAGTTGTGTGGGTGTGCATCTGTGCATCTGTCTGGGGAAAGGGTTCATAACTTTTATTGGTGTATCAAAAGACTGGCTCAAACATGATTGTTAGCTGCTGCTACAATGGTTAAACATTTTCAGTTAAATCAAAGCACAATTCCCAAGTTTGATGTTGACTGTCTTCCACCTGCTAGAGCACCTCACCCTCAATCTATCTCCTTCCCTTGTGAAGCCTTGATCATTTTTACCAGCTGATCCTCATATTGTTCATTACCTAGAACGCGTCCCCAATTCCGAAGCCTACCCAATGCGTCCAAAAGCTTAACTGTGGACCCACCATGACACCGTCCTTACCTACTCCAAGCACTACAGACATCACAGGCCTCCAGGTACACACATGAACACACATTGAACACACATTGCAACAGGCAGGCCCATCTTCTCCCCCACTTATGCTCATAACACACACTGATGTGCGTCTGCCTTACACACCCTGACCCTGCATTCAGAGGGACACATACGAACCGTCACGCTCAGTAAACACTTTGTCACATTTTGACACTCATAACAAAAGTTCCCCATAATAGCTCTACCTCACACACACTGACCAGGACCTCTGGTACAACCTCGGACTCACACACCAGGCTCACAAACACAACTTGTGCGCTCTCTCTTACACACACACAGACACACACATACACGCTCACTGGCCCACAATACTGCTCAAGGTCTCACCACCAATCTCTCACATACTGACAGTCACTGTGTTCCACAGGCGCCCTAACAAACACGCACCGCCGCTCCCTCGCGCGCCCCGCCTCACCCGATGTTGGTACAGGCAAACATTCCCGAAGCCGCCGGTGCCCAGCCGCTCCCGCATCTCCCAGGGCCCGCCCGCGCCCGGCCGCAGCCCCGGGGGCCGCTCCATGGGGCGGGAGGGCTAGAATCCTCAGGTCCCGCCACTGTTCCGAGGCCGGTTCCGGGCTGCCGAGGCTCGCGGGTCTCTCTTCTCGCGAGGGGATGCGTCACTTCCGGTAACTGCGGCAGGAGAAAAACCCCGCCCCAACTTCTCCCGGGGGCCGCAGGAGCCCAGCCGGGGAAATGGTAGTGAGGGGGTGAGCGTTTTCAATCCATTCTAAGTGCCCCGGGAATTTTCGTGGCTGAGAGAACCCATATGTGTTTTTCCAGTCTTCAAAAATATAAGATCCCTCCAAACCCTTCATTCCCTTTAAATCAGTTTCCAAACCAGTCTTTCCCGTATTCGTCTTTTCTAAACGTCACGTCGTCTCCACCCCTGTCTACACTTCACCTTTCTTCAGACCTCTGCCATCTATCCTCCAGCTTCACCACCCGCTGAGGTGGCACTGGCAAAGGCCACCAAGGATTTGAATATTGCGAAATCCGTAGAACTAGAAAGAATTCTGCACTAACAGGCCCACTGATGCATTAGGCTTCATAGTTTTTTTCTTCTCTTAAATGATTAATCATCTTCCATTGACAGGTCAGCTCTTCCTTTGCTTGACTTCCTATACACCTGTTCCAGGATCTCCCCTATAACCCCAAACAACTCAAGGATGTGACGCTGTTCCGGAGTAAAGAAGGCTCCTCCTGACTTCGGGAGCTTTTCCCTAAACGCCCTCACTGAGCTTGCTGTCAGGCATACCCCCAGTTGTGGGTTTGCCAGCTCGGTAGTTCCTCATTGTGGGGATTGTTTCCCATGAGCAATGCAGGGCTGCAGGGGCAAGCTTCCGAATGCTATTGGTGCAACAAGAAGTGTTTGAGTGGCAGATTGCCTTAGAATAGGGGAACCAGCTCCCCGTTTTCACTTTGAGTTGGTTGTATGCTTCACGGAACTTGGGGATCTCATCAATCACTCCAAGGTATAACATCAGCATGGAATTAAATTCTCTAAAGAAATGTGTCAGCTGTGTTAAGTGTGGTCATTTGAACCTCACTTGAGATTATGTGCACTTGAACCATCATTTGCGCAGCCCAGCCTATGAGCTACATAGAATTCCAGCTAACACTTTGTGACACATGACTGTGCCACAACAGATGTAGCATGTTGAGACTTCTCAAGGTGGATACAGCATGTACACCACAGCAGTGCTACTGGCTGCTTTGAAAGCACTGAATAGGCTTTGGCAGAGCAAATGTCTGTTGTCACCAGAATCCCTGAATATTGCAATGAGAATGTTGAACACTGTATGATACAAAATGAGTCGTGTTGTAGTTGTTCATCAGTAACCTGTGTGTGGAATCAGAGATTCTGGTTTCCCATATGTGCTTGCTAGCCATGAAGCTGGAGCATCAGACTTGGAAGTGGCAAATGGTACCTCCAAAAACATGTCCCTTAGAGCTGGGCAGACTGCACAGATGATCGTGGCAGCTTGTTCTAATAGTATGAAGCCCTCACTTGCTAGGTGTACAGCATCTAGCCCTGGAGTGTATCTGATTTCCACAGGTGGGGCCAAAATCCCATAATTCTCACTTGGAAGAGCTGCGAAGGGATGCTGAGGACCTGAAGACCCTGAAGCGGCCATTTTCGCAGGAACTGGGTTGTTTCCCATAGTTCATTTTTTGAGGTTTTTCTGAATTAAAAAAAAATCCTGGCAGGTTAACTTCAGGCTCCATAATCTTCAAGTTTGCCAGTTTGTTTTCTTCATGTAAAAAATGGAGGTAATAATACCTACCTCATAGATATTTTGTGAGGATTAAGTAAAACAGTGTCTGGGCCATAAATGCCCAGTAAATAGGAGCAATTATTTTTCTTTTGGCTTCCAAGATCTGGCATTCTCCTGTGATCACTCTCTCTCTCTCTCTCTCTCTCTCTCTGCTCTTTCTCCATGTACTTATTGGATCACTCTATTTCCGAGCACTCCTTAAATATTGACATTTCTCAGGTAGTCATCTTCAGCTTAGGACTGTATTCACCCTACTTCCATCCATTCTCATAATTTCACCTATGGCCTATACCCTGATGAGCCCCAAAACCCTATCACCAAACCAGATCTCCATGAATTTGTAACTATCAAACAGCAACTAAAACTCAGTATCTAAAGGAGAACTCGTCTTCTTTTTAAAAATCTGCCCCTCCTCTTCCCAATTAGACTGTAAATTCTGGACAACAGGGATCATGCTGGGACATGGCTATAATCCTGGAGCCTGAAAAACGCCTGGCACATAGGAGTTAAGTATTTGCTGAAGGACTGGATGAGCTCTTCTATATCAGTAAGATGACTGCTATAAGAGAAAAAAGGCAAAGGCCTTCTCCATCCTGGGCTGTTCAGTGAGAAGCCACCCGTGAGATCCTGGGATAACACCTGGGCCTAAAGCCCTGGCCCCTCCTACTATACACACACTCTACTTCATTTCAATGGTTATAGGTAACATGAACACAAGACACTTCCCAACCATGAAAAAGCATTTGGATTTTATATGATAGTTTAAATATTTTTGAAAATGTCGATAAAAACAAGCTGTACTTGGAGTTTGATGACAGACATGCTTTTAACATAAGATCTTCATCCTAAAATGTGACTTTTTCTAAAAAATATTCAATCTTAGGCCTCTTGCTGCAGGCAGGTTCCATGGGAATACACAAAAAAGAGGCAGGGAAACAGTCCCCATGGGAGACTGTTGTTTCTCAAAAAACAGGCTGCCATTACATCCTGTGAAGTTCATAAAGCGCTTTTCCCTTTGCTCAGTCATCCAGAGTGAAGTCAAAGGGCTCAAAGTCTTTCCGGAAGTGACGAGCCAGGGTCTCCTCCTCTTCCTTGCTGATCTGACACTGCCTCCAGTCAGACTTGTCAGGAATATTAAGGATAGCTTCACTAGCCAGGACCTCCCTGCAGAAAAAGCACAAAGAAGTCAAAACGGACAGTATCAGTCCAAAACCCCCTCTTCCTTCGATTCCTCTCCAGCCAGAGAGCTCCACTCAGCATCACCCAAAGAAGGTATGCAAATTTCTCTGACTTAGCTCATACCATTTTCTCTGCCCTGAGAGCCATCTCTGCCATTCTATCTATCAAAGTCATGTCTGTTATAAGTGACCAGCTCAGGTCTTAGCTCTTCTAGCCCCTCAAATTCCATTTACTTCTCTGAGCAACTTGGAACTACATTACTGGTACCTAGAGAAGCAACATGGCACAGTAGAAAGAGGGCATCCCCTGATATCAGAAATATCAGGGACTGGATTCCATTCCTAGCTCTGCCACTTGCTATCTGTGACTTGAACAGATTACTTCATCACTGGCCTTGATTTCCTTGCCTATGAAATGCAAAATAAGGGTTTTCTGATGTATGGAGACAACATAATCAAAGCACCAAACTAGCTGTAATTTTACATCCTGCCTTAAACTCTAGTTCTGTCGTCTCAGGTCATTAGTGTGCTGAGGTGAAAAGTCAGGCACCTAGTCTCATATCCCACTCTGACTTTCTGCCTCTCTTTCTAGTGCACTCAGGCCTACGTAGGCACAACAGCACAGGCTCAATGTCAACAAAACCACCACGTACACAAGCTACCTTTTAAATGCCACTGCTTTATACTTTTACTTATTCTGATATATTAGAAATAACTCCTTTGCAGCCACTTAAGCTGACTGTGCTCTTTTCCCCACGGGCCCCAGTGCGCAATGGTTGCAAACAGCAGCATTCTTAGTAGTGTGTGCAGCCTGTTGCCTCTATGGGTTGCCCTAAGGGACCCTGGAGACAGCCCTTTCCAGTGGACATTCATGACTGGCATGCTGCCCCCGATCTAGGCTCCAGACAGGTACGCATGGTGCCTTGGGAAAGCCCCAGGGCACAGTGGCCAGGGTCCACATTGGCCAAGTCATAATGTCCATCCACAACTGTTCCTGCAGAACAAGGAACATGTGATTGAGGCCCTCCACAGGGCGAAGTTCAAGTTCCCTGGCTGCCAGAAGATCCACGTCTCCAAGAAGTGGGGCTTTAACTAAGTTTAAATGAATCTGAAAACATGGTGGCAGAAAAGCAGTTCATCCTGGATGGCTGTGGGGTCAAATACATCCCTAATCGTGGCCCCTGGACACATGGTGGGCCCTGCACTCGCGAGAGCCTTGGCACCGTCCCCTCCTTACTCGTGCCCACCAATAAATCCTTTCTTGTCAAAAAAAAGAAAAGAACTCTATTTGTACATTTGTATGGTTCATTTTCCACTTTGAAGCTACAGTAAATAGAAAGGCTGAAAACAAATCACATGAGTCTTCTAAAAGTCAAAGGACCTAAGCTCAAGTTCTAGTTCTCTGGGCAGACCATCAGTCTACCTCTTCATCTGTAAAATGAAGACAGAACCGCCCTTCTTGTGCAGCAGGAAAAAAAATATGTGTTTTCAAGTATTTCGTTAACTGTAAAATGCTATGTAACTGTAAGTTACTATTGTGAAAAATACTCAATGTTGAAAATACAACCAACTACCAAGAGCACAAAATCATTCAGAGACTCTATCCTTTGTGAGCTTATGTGCCTGTGTCATCAGCGTCCACACCTGTGTCTGTTGCTGAATCAATAACACAAAGATAATGTCAGATGTTTGAAGCTCCTAACACATTTCTTCTCATTTATTATCTTTTTGAAAATGTAGACAACTACGTTTACTGGACTTATCCAATGGTGGCAATCTCTTGGAGGCTTTCCAAATTGCTCCAAAAAGGGTTCAAGATTGACTCAAAGCTCAGTTCTAACTAGGGAAAAAACCACTGCAAATCACAGACACCAGCATCAGATAACCTGTTCCGCACATTTTCAACTCCCCTCCATACTCTCTTCTTGCCAGCAAATTCCTGTCTTCATTCTCTACCTAATTTATACCACTCCCTGTATAGTTCTGCAGTCATGTTCTCCATGATATGAGGAGCAAAAATGAAGCCTCGTCCAGACCTTTAGGACACTACAGAGTAGTGAGTTAAGACCTCACATCTTTGGGGTCCAGCAGGCCAGGTCACTGTGTGACCATGGACAACCTACCTAACCACTCTAGAGCCATGCTGTCCACTACAGAAGCCACTAGCCTGACATATTTAAATCTAATCCTAATTAAATTAAATTAAAAATTGAGTTCCTCAGTCATATTAGCCACATTTCAAGTGCTCAGTAGTCACTAGTAATGTGGCTGATGATTACTGTATAGGACAGTGTACTTTTATAAAACATGTCCATCATCATGAAAGTTCTATTGGCACTCCTCCAGAGCCTCATTCTTCATACTGGTAAATTGGGATGACAGTACTTACCTTACAGAGTTTGGAAGATTAAATGAGGCAATGCATGGAAAGTTCTTGGCACAGTGTCTGGCACAGAGCACATGTTCAATTAATAATAGCATTTTCCTACCTTGGGCTAGAATGCCCACATGCCAAAGTTTACCCTCTAAATATCTCTCTCAGGCTCAACTTCAGCCCTTTCATGACGCCTTCCACCACGTAGAAATGGGTTTCCCTTCTCTGAATTTCTAAAGTACACTGTTCCTCAAAACTTTGTTACGGTACTTTTCACACTCTGCATTGTATTACTGTCATATATGTAAACATCTGACTTGCCCTAAGACTACTGGTTCCTTGGGGCAAGGACTGTTCCTTGTTTGGCTTTTTACTCAACTGGCCATGCAGCCCACTACTTCGTTCAGAGTAGGTCTAGTGAAAATACATTTAAAATAAGAAAAATGTACAAACCTTCCAAACTGCAAAGGAAAATTCTTTTTAATTCTGTGGAAAAGTTTCTCTCCTGTGTCAAGTTCAACATAAAAATATGCTGCTCCTGGCTGTGCAATCTAAAGTAAACAGAGTCATATGAGGACATGCAATAGTGCTTTAAAAGTCAAAAATCCCAGCCCATCTCTTTAAAGCTTTAATTTGGCAAAGAATTCAGCTTAGAAGCACAAGAAAAAGGATGTGAGCAGATATAAATCCCAAGTCACTTAGTGGAACTAGAGTTTAAAAAGCCAAACTGGCAGATATTACAAAGATCCTCCCAGTAGCACCTACCTTCCTAAGTTCCTGCCTTAGGAAATTTCTAATTTCTTGCTCTTCCCAGGAAAGCATTAAGGCACTGATGTAATACCATCTTCATCTCTAGTCTAATCAATACCCCATGCTCTAGTACCAAATTGTCACCTGCCCATTTAACATTTTTTAAACACCTTTGAGTACCTCAGGCTCAACATGTCAGAAACCAGGTCTTTACTTCTCCTGGAATATGACCTTCCCCTCCTGTTTTACCTGCTTGATGTCTGAGTGCTCTGGGATTTCCAACAGCTCTATTTGTTGCTCCTGTGCCTGAGTAATGAAGGCATCTTTAATGTCATCAGTAGCACAGCGGCTGAGGGGCACAGGAATGACCTGGGGCGGGGGGGAGGAGCAGGAGAAATTCTTCATGCAGGTCTCAGAGAGCTCATGCCTCCTGCACAGTCCCTGAGATGTAGCAAATCCATCACAGGGGTGGAGAAACACCCCTCAGCAGAGATTCTCCTCAGGCCAGACAGGTCTATGTCAGCCTGTCTGTAAGGACTTAAACTTATGAGCTTGTCTGCCACATGTGGGAGCCCATCTCTGATGTGGGAAAGGCTAGAAAGAGATCTCTTTGTCATTAAGCCTTTGCCAGCTCCTATATAATATATGTGGCAGAGTCAGGCCCATTTGAAAACTTAACAAATGTGCCAGAAAGAAAACCACCACAACGACAACCAAATTATCCATAACAGTCTCTGAATTTCTGAGCTGCTAGCCCCAGGCAGGATCTGAGACTATTTCCTACCTCTGAGCTGCCACTCATGCTGAGCTTCACACAAAATACCCACTCTCTTCCAAACTCTATCTATCGAGGCCCACACCTTTCTTGGAACCTTCCTCGACTACCCATTCCTTTTCTCAACAAGGCACTTACTATCTGTGCTATTCACTTGTACTGCCATGCACTACCCTGTGAATCCCTATAAAATCTCTGGACTTATCACCAGAAACTCTTTAACCTTTTAAATGAATATTATTTAAATATTAATATGAAAATTCATATTAAATATTTTAAATATGAAATCAACTATTTAAATACCTAACCTTATATTAGAATCAAATACTTAAATATTAATTAAAATTAAGTATTAAAATTAACATTATTTGTTGATGGGCACTTGGGTTGTATCCATGTCTTGGCTATTGCAAATACTGCTGCTATGAACACTGGCACACATGTATCTTTTCGAATTAGAGTTTTCATCTTTACTGGTTATATGTCCAGCAGAGGGAGTGCTGGATCATAGATAGCTCTATTTTTAGTTTTTTGAGGAACCTCCATACTGTTTTCTATAGCAGCTGCACCAATTTACACAACAACCCAAGTGCCCATCGACAGATGCTTGGCTTAAGAAGATATGTTATATATATATATATATATATATATATACACAATGGAATATTACTCAGCTATAAAAAATAATGAACTATTGCCATTTACAACAACACAGATAGATGAACCTAGAGAATATCACACTTAGTGAAGTCAGACAAAGAAAGACAAATATTATATGACATCACTGATATGTGGAATCTGAAAAAAAAAATACAAATGACTCTATATACTAAACAGAAACAGACTCACAGACATAGAAAACAAACTTATGGTTACCAAAGGGGAAAGGGAGGGGAGGAAGGATAAATTAGGATTATGAAATTAACAGATACAAACTACTATACATAAAATAGAAAAACAACAAGGATTTACTATATAGCACAGGGAATTATATTCAATATCTTGTAGTAACCTATAATGGAAAATAATCTTAAAATATATATATATATATATGTAAAACTGAATCACTTTGCCATATGCCTGAAACTAACACAATATTGCAAATCAACTATACTTCAAAAAAATTAACATTATTTAAATATTTATCAATATCCAGGTCCCCATACAGCCCTTCCAAGTTCTTGGGCAGAGACCACCTACCTGTAGCTGGAGGTGATGGCTCTTATAATTTCTCTCAAATAGAATACATCGTTTGCCTTGACTCTTAAAGAAGCGCCTCAATGTAGCCTTATACTGCTCAACCTCTTCCACCACCTCTGCTGAAAGCTCCACCACTGACTGGTAGTGTCCAATGGGCAGGATGAGGACATGGTCATCAGATAAGCCTCCTTTGGCCAGGGCAAGGTAGCACTGAAGAGGAAGCACACAGAAGTGAGACATCAATACTGCATGTGTGATTCTTCAGGGAGAAAAGCCTCTACAGAGCGTGAGCCCAAGGGTGTGGGAAAAGTGCTCAAGAGGCTCTCAGTAGAAATTCTCCTCTTAAAAAAATCTGATTTTAGAGGTTATAACAACAATGTTGTCAAGCACCTGCTGAAGAATGAGATTAGGTGCAACAAATTTCTTTTTTTCTGGCTGCACGGCTTGTGGGATCTTAGTTCCCTGACCAGGGATTGAACCCGCACCCTCGCCAGTGAAAGTGTGGAGTCCTAACCACTGGACCGCCAGGGAGTTCCCAGACGCAACAAATTTCTATGCAACTATCAAATGAACTGGGAGCCAATGAGCAGCACGCAGACCGGCTTTTGGCTACAAACACACCAGAGCTGAAGGAGACTGGAACGGATGGTTGGTTTTTCCTCCCAGGCTCCGAACTTGAAAGCAATTTTTCAGTTTATTATCACCCCCAGCCAAAGAAAGATACCACTTCTGACTTCAAATGAACCACTTTCCTTACAGTGACACCCAACCTCACCCCCTAAATACACCTCTTAGGCTCACAAAAAAGGCGAAGATGACGTGATTAGCATCCAGTGTCCCTACAGCCTTAAGCTGCTGACTAACCTCTACAAAATGAAAGCAAACATAACCTAACAGGGAAGGAAGAAGAAGAAACCTCAAACTCAGGTACATCCAAAAAAACTGTAGTTCCCAACAATGGCTGCCGGTAGCTAAACAGCAACTAAAAATATTTGTCAAAACCTAAACATGCAAGACTGCTCTACCACTCAGACATTCTTTGAAGGGAAGACACTGAGTGAGTAGAGAAAGGGCCAGTGAATATCAACGCAGGCAAATGAAGGTACTGGAGCTTTAGAAAAACAATCCAAAGTATACTTTTAGTGTGGTGGGTTCAAAGTTAAGGCTGAAGGAAGGAGTCATTTATTTTTCATCTACACTGAGAAAGCCCAATAGAATGACAGGATAAGTATCAGAAACAAACTAAAGCATGATCATCCTTGATCTCCTTGGCACAGAGGACTGAACACATCTATAGAGTTAATATCCCAGATGACTAAAGTTCATCAAAACCTCATATGTGCTAAAACATTAAAAAAAATTTTTTAATAACCATTTTGATTGTGTTTGTTTTAAAAGGTTACTCTAGAAGCCTGAGTTTTCTAGCCTTTCCTTTTTATACTGTGATGTGCACTGAAGCTACTGAAGTTTCTAGTCTAGACTAAATAGCACCCCCCAAGGCAGTACCTTCTAGTTCTTGTGAATAGTTTCACACTTGGCCGATCTCTTCCCTTCTTTTCAAACTCTCAACTTGTAATCTGTTCTATACTTGAATTATCTCTAACTTTATCTCAAATGTATAAGTAGGACCTGAATGAATATTTCTCCTATAGACAAATGCACGGATTTTGCAATAGTTATTCTGGACTCTTAGCAGCCCACACCTGCTTTTACCAATTTATAGCCATGGGCCATTAGCATACTTCTATGTATATTCCTTGAGGAAGGCATGGCAAAGACAGAGAAAAAGCCAGGGGAAAAAAGTAATGAAAGGAGATCAAGAGGAGTGGCTACAGAGGGGACTCCAAGCCCTGTGCCAGACACCCACAGGTCACCAGAGGTTCCCAAGAGGTTTCTAACAACAAAGGACAGCGCAGGTAAGTGTAAACTTGATTACTAGGTAGGCTCTAGGCTAAAATCATCATGTGACCTCCTACTTGGGGTGCTGGGTTGGGCCACAATCAAAATCTGAGGTACTTTTTGCCCCTCTAGCTTTAGGTAAAAATGAGAAGCAAACAGGTTTCCTGATTATCCCCTAGGCTCATACCCTAAGCCAGATACCCTAGGCAATAGAAAGGTACAATAAATGGAAAGGAAAGGCCATCTCTCCTGGAGGCCCAGAGCAGCACGGAGCTAAGTCACCCATTCCAAATCTCTTGTGCCCTGCATGGCATTCTGAACCTATTGTTTCCAAAACAGAAGGCAGTCTGAAGCCTTCTCCCATACCATACCATATGGGAGAGAAGGATAGCATACACTAATCCAAGGAGGAAACCAAGATCCAAGAGAGTTAATCCAAAAAGGTATTCCTATAAAAAGTTTTCAAGTTTGCTTCTCTTCCCACTGAAGAGTTCATCCACAGGCTCTATGGCCCAGCTGTGTCACAGGCCTTCACCCCATTCATGCACCCCCTACCGACAGGAGTGTGCCAATATGCAAGACATAAAAATTAAATGTAAATGACTGTGACTCTTCAGTCAAACAATAATGGCAAGAGAGGGATATGACTTCGAGTGTAAGATGACACAGATTCTAGTCAGTCTACAGGAGCCCACAGAAGAGGGCCCTCACTGTCAGGATAAGCTGAGGAAAAGGTCATCCCCAGGAAACAAAATTAGAATAAATCAATGAAAAATGGATGAAAGTATCTGTCCGCAGAAGCATCACACACTAAGAAATGATTTGTAAATATTTTCCTCAGGAGCCTTGGGAAATAGCCAATTCTAGTCATGGGAGACTAGGGTGCAAATGTTAACCCTGAAAATTAAGCTTCTTTCATTCTAAATGAACGAAAAAGAAGAATAATGGTCTATATGAATCCCAGAGGAATGAGGGTCAAAAACTGATATTATTTAATACCTAATCAAGCCCTGCCCAAGGAAAAGTATCTGGGGAAATCTGAAATAGGATGACTTTACAGTGAGACACACATAGTTCATCAGAACTTTCCACAGCCTGAATAAAATCCTTCTCAAAATCATCCAGTTCTCATAGTCTGATTCAGTGCTTACCAAGCAATCTTGTAATTATTATCTTGGGTTCCCAGATACCCATACCAGGAATGTGGATGTGGGTATTCCCGTCATTAGGAAGCTATATCCTCTACTACTAGGCAAAACTGAGAATTTATCACTTTAGTCTTTTATATAATCAGTGTAAATCAGTTCCCAACATTGCATAATTATCACAAATAAAAATTAATAAACTCAAGTTTTTAAATCTGAAGATATAAAAAAGAATATCAACATTTTTAGCCAAATATGAGTGTAAAGGCAACAGAAGACTCCCTTTTTGGGACAAAGAAAATCCTTGTGTTTGTACTTCCCTGGTGGCACAGTAGTTAAGAATCCACCTGCCCATGCAATAGACACGGGTTTGAGCCCTGGTCCGGGAAGATCCCACGTGCCATGGAACAACTAAGCCCGTGTGCCACAACTACTGAGCCTGTGCTCTAGAGCCCGTGAGCCACAACTACTGAGCCCGCGTGCCTAGAGCCCGTGCTCCGCAACAAGAGAAGCCACCGCAGTGAGAAGCCCGCGTACCGCAACAAAGAGTAGCCCCTGCTCACCTCAACTAGAGAAAGCCCGTGCGCAGCAACGAAGACCCAACACAGCCAAAAATAAATTAATTAAAAAGAAAAGAAAATCCTTGTTTTAAATAGTAATTCAAAAAAGTAATTCATCACCCCCAAGTAGTATGAAATAAAAACATATAAAGTTCAAGAATTACATAAAAACATCACCCTAGGAGAGCCATACCTATTTGTCAGAGAGGAGGGAGAGAAGGAGCAATCTTGTGAAACTGGCTCTACTAAACCACAGGAGAATTGCTATAGTTGCTCTAGTCAAAAATATAGAAAATAACAAATGTTGGCAAAGGATGTGGAAAAACAGGAACCCTCATACATTGCTGGAGGGAAAACAAGATGGTACAGCCATTTTGAAAAATAGTTTGGCAGTATCTTAAAAAGTTAAACATAGGGCTTCCCTGGCGACGCAGTTGTTGAGAGTCCGCCTGCCGATGCAGGGGACACAGGTTCGTGCCCCAGTCCGGGAAGATCCCACATGCCACAGAGCGGCTGGGCCCATGAGCCATGGCCGCTGAGCCTGCGCATCCAGAGCCTGTGCTCCGCAGTGGGAGGGGCCACAACAGTGAGAGGCCCGTGTACCACAAAAAAAAAAAAAAAAGAGACTAGTGGTTGCCTGGGGCTGTGGGTGGGTATGGAGACTAACTGTAAATGGGCATGAGGAATCTTATTGGAGTGACGAACATGTTCTAAAACTATTATGTGATGGCTGTACAATCAGTGACTTAACTAAAAATCACTGAATTGCACACTTAAAGTAGGTAAATTTTATGATATGTAAATTATGACTCAATAAAGTTAACAGAAAACTAACAGGTGTCTCCTCTGTAAAAGGTTCATGGAAGTAACTCACATGTGTGCCAACGCTGACCACCAAATGCTTTTCCACTTCAGGGCTGGCAAGGCAAAACCAGCAGGGTCCTGGAGGCTGAGCTTCATGTGGAAGAAAGACAAATGTTACCATGGTCCAAGCACTCCAGCACATAACCACCCTATAGAATTCAGCCTTGTCTGATCTTTGCAACCTGCAAACACTGATATGTACACAGTACTGCCACAACGGACTGTGTCTGCTGTGCTCCCACTATGACCCCTGCCCCCATCACCATTATCAATGAAACTAAACCTCTATTAAAAGTTCTGAATTTGTAACCAATCCACAGGTAGGTGATCCATGTGATAACCATATATTGACTAAAGTAGCATGTAACTGGCAACTAACTGCAATGAGAGAACACTCAACTGGGTGTGTGGAGCCCCAATTCTACTTCTAGTCATGCCACCAGCTATCCACATGACCCTGGGAGTACGTGTACCCTCCCGAAGTCAGCCTCTTCATCTTTGAAACAAGGGGTGGAGAAAGAGGATCTCAATGTAATAGCTGTAAGTCTTTTCTACCAGTTTGATTATTCTATTATTTTATAAACCCAAACTGGTTTTGTAGGCTCTTAACCTTACGTTTACAGACATGATGGAAAGGAGCTTCTTCCATAGTTCTGACAGGAATAGCCTCAGACAGCCTCAAAGTCAGGCCACCTTTGCATTCTTTTATTTTTCTTATTGGTCCTAATGATTCAATATACAATCTTCTTCTGCCAGAAGAGGCTCTCTTAGCAATGCTGCTTCCCAAACAAGACCCAAAATAACAGTTTTTGCTCACATAAGAGACCTCTGGAACCAAGGTACTTACGAAGTTTGCGAGGCTGCTTTGGGTGAGGAGAAGACTTGCTATCTCTGCCTGTAGATGAACGCTTCCTTCCCTGCTTTTCATTTAAATCAAAGAAAAACTGACAGGCTGAATCTTCCTGGAACAGCCAAAGGTAGAAGAGTAAATGTTATTAAACTAACCTTTAGACAAGTAGCCAACCATCCACATACAAGAGAATGTTCCTGCCACGTCATGTCTTTCCTCCCTGCCCTTTCTGCCTATTCTAGAGAAGAAAAATATTTTCCCAATCCTGATGCCTGGACTCTCAGTCATACCTCTCAACACTTATCCAAGCTACCACCAAATTTATCCCTTTGGAAAAGTGAAGTAAAATCCAAGTTATACAGCAACTCTTGCCTAAAACAGAATAGCATGAACCCACCCACATTCCTTTCCCTTTCTCTCTCAGTAGGGCCATGGTGTAGTCTTACAATTTCACAGATCAAACAATTCTGAGTTTTAATTAAAAAGATATGAAAAAAAGTCTGAGAAAGTAGACAATGCATACTAGTAAGGAAACTTGACATTCCTTGCTTTAGTGAAGGGAAAACGAATTTCAGAAAAGTCTGCTATTAAGAAATTTCTTCAGAGTAAATCTTATTCACCTATACCACTCATTATAAAATCACAAATTACATTGCTACCAAGCAGTTGGGATCTTTGCCTGAAGAGTTAAGAACAGAGAATTAACTTTAGACAAGGAAAGACTCTACATGTGTAACCCCAACATATGAACCAAGTTTAGACAATGAAAGACTAAAAATATGAAACTGTTAACCCCAAACTATAATTAAAAAAACAAACAAAAACAAAACAAAAAACACATTGAGCTTACTGGAAATCTACTAAGGCTTTCTAATCACCAGCATGATTTCCCAAAGGAAAGAAAAAGATTTAGATTCAAGGGATTAAACTTGCCTTATGAATTAAACTATAACCAGGAAAAGGACACCTGTAATGGGCAATCCTGCCCAGAAAATGTCACCTCTCAGTCAGAACATACCTCAGGGGCAGGAATTTGCTTTCCTATGGATGCTTGCTTCACAAACTTTCTGTAAGGGTTTTCAGTGACATCTGGAGGCTGTTTTACCAGTTCTGCTACATCCATTAGTTTCATAGGAACAATACTGAATGCATAAAGATACTTTGGGAGAAGAACAACATAATATTAAGGGAAATACTGTTTGTGCAAATGTAACCAACCTATTTTATTATAACATTTCACATAAAGCTTCAGAAACTGAGTAAGATTAAAGAGCAGCAACCAGCCCATCTGTGGTTCAGAGAATCCATAGCAATGCCATTTCAGTGATCTCTGCAGGGGCAAACCAAGGGCTGATGAAGTAACAAGCAACTAATCAAAGCCCAGCCCTTACACAAAACAACTATCACTGCAAGGCCCAGAGGGACTTGCTCCATAACCCTTGAAGACAAACTGCTTCTGTCTCTGGGTCCTTTATCTTTGTGCACTTTGTCCATAGTCACTGCACTGCCCTTCTTTTTTTCTAATGAAAACTAAATTGGACAACTTAGTGTTTCCCTCTGATTTTATACAATTTCTGCTGTATATGCTGATAGATTTTCTTAGGGATTAGTAGCAAAGAAATAAATACTCACATAAATATCTAAAACCATGGACTAATGGCACAGATACTGAAAACTATGTGAGATATGAATAGATGCTTAACCTCACTACTGATCAGGGAAATACAACTAATTAACAACGATACACAACCTTCTTATATCATAATGGCAAAAGTGTTAATAAAAATTTGACACTACCCATTGAGAAAACAGACTCATACACTGCTGGTAGGGGTGTAAACTGGAACAAAATTTTGAAATGAATTTACTAATACTTTCCAAATTTTAAAATGTGCATATTCTTTGAGTGAAGTATACATTGCTTAGGGTTAAGGCTAACATGTCCCTGAAAGTAAAGCAATAGACTAAAAATACTGTGAGTGATGCTCGGTCTTGAAAGGGCAGTTTGAAAAAAGGAAGAAAGGAAGGAAGGGAGGGAGGGAAGGAAGTTAAAAAAATTACAAATATAAACTTGCTAAGAATGCATTGGGCCTAAAAGTTTAAGATATTATGGAAAAAAACAAAATATTTGTTTATCTTTTGCATGTACATTGTTTACGGCATATTATAGTAGGATAATCTTCAGATAATTTATATATTTTCCCACGTGACTGACTGTTCTGATCTTTAGCTATTCCAATCCACAATATCCTGCTTTTGGCCCTACAGAATCAGAAGTGCTCTCAGGGAAGTGAGAACAATATACTTTTCTGGTATACCCTCTTTCATTCACCTGCACTGTTTTCCAGTATAAAGACAGATTCAAGGTATCACTAAGATTCCCAAAGCCAACGAGGGCTTAGGTAAATCCTTGGGAAGGTTTTATTATTTCTGCTAAATGAAGTTGCTAAAAGCAGCAAAACAAGAGTACCATCTGAGGTCAAACTCATGAAAAATACCCATAGAGACGACCACATGGATGTGGGAAGAAAGACATCATTCATTTGAAATTTTGCCTTTGTTCCACTGGGCCTATTTTCCCAAACCCTTCTCTAAAATCTCCTACAAAGGACCCAAGGAAACCTGACCTTTCATTACCATATTATTATAAAGAGTAAAGTCACTGAAGTACTGGGACATCGCAGTTGGGGAGAAGAGAAGATCTGACTGCTAAACTTGGCAAGAGGAACGTTTATCAGGCAGACAATGAATATTAACCAAACACCAAATACTCAAAATTTACCTTTTTCTTTTCTGGATTTCCAACATTTGCCAGAGCTATGAACCTGGTGGCGTGCTGTGCATTTTCCTGCAGAATGATGTGGTTTCTATAACATATTGGAAAGATAATAGGTTACCAACAAACTTTACCTTTTTTTTTTTTTTCTGGCTGCACCTCGAGGCTTGCGGGATCGTAGTTCCCTGACCATGGATTGAACCCAGCAGTGAAAGCGCCGACTCCTAACCACTGGACTGCCAGGGAATTCCCACCAACAAACTTTACTTTTGATCTGCAATTATGAAATATGTAGACTCCACGGGGCCATGAAAAAAGCACAGGTCCTAAGTCTATCACTACATCACCACCAGTAACATCTCAGATGTTACCTGTCCATCTAGTAGAATAATCACCCCTACTTCCCGGGGCTGCTGTTAGGAAAAAAATGAGGTCACGTATTTGAAAAGCACAAAAAACTCTAAATTTGGCTTTAAAAGAGTCGGAAAATTGGCAAAATGTTGATAATTGCTGAAGTAGGTTATGGGTTCAGGAGGGATCATTACACTATTCTCTCTTCTTTTATGTAATAAAAAACTATAATAATGAAAAACAAAGAGAAATGAGTTTTAAGTGGAAAAAAATGCTTCAAATGGTAATACATAGCATGATTTCATTCTCCTAGGAAAAATATAAAAATACATGAGTGTCTATGTTCCCTGGAAAAAAAATGCCAGTATTTTTATTATGATAGTTATGGGTTTTTGTTACAGCTCTGGTTAAAAAGTTGTACAGGGAAGAGATATGGGAACATATGTGTATGTATAACTGATTCACTTTGTTATAAAGCAGAAACTAACACACCATTGTAAAGCAATTATACTCCAATAAAGATGTAAAAAAAAAAAAGTTGTACAGGGTTTTTTGTTGTTTTTTTTTAACAGCTTTATTAAGATCTAATTCAAATACCATACAATTCACCAGTTTTTAGCATACTGACATATACTAAGCCACTACCACTATCTAATTTTAGAACATTTTCATCATCTAAAAAAGGAAACCCTGTATCTATTAACAGTCACTCCCCATCTCCCTCCAACTAGCCCCTGGCAACCGCTAATCTGCTTTTTATCTCTATGGATTTGCCTATTCTGGACACTACAGATAAATGGAATCATGTAATATGTGGTATTTTGTGTTTGGCTTCTTTTATTTAGAATAATCTTTTCAAGGTTCACACATGTAGCTTTTATCAGTACTCCATTCCTTTTACTTACTGAATAACATTCCATCATATGGATATACCACCGTTTATTTACCCATTCATCAGGTGATGGATATTTAGGTCATTTCCTCATTTTGGCGATTATGAATAATGCTGTTATGATCATTTGTGTACAAGTTTTTTGTGAACCTATGTTTACATTTCACTTGGAATAGGAGTGGAATTGCTGGGTCATATGGTAGGCAAATGCCAAATATTTTTGCAAAGCAGCTGTACCATTTTACGTTCCCACCAGCGACGTATGAGGGCTTCAACTGCTCCACATCCTCATCAGCACTTATTATTTGTCTTTTTGGTTATAGCCATCCTAGTGGGGTGAGAAGTGGTATCTCATTGGTTTTGATTTGGATTACCCTAATGGCTAATGATGCGTGAGCATCTTTTCATGTGCCTATTGCCACTGGTTTATGTTCTTCAGAGAAATGTATATTTGGATCCTTAAAAGTTTTGAGTGGCTTATTCCTATAACCTTTCTGTTTTTAGTGCATGGTTTCAGAGAACAAGAGGTTTTTCTGGAATGCATATATGGAGATATAAAAGAAAAATCCGTAGTACCTATGGTTATATCTTAGGCTGTGGGATTATAGGGAAAGGGCAGGTTATATTCTTCTTTTTGCTCACCTATATTTTTTGAACTTTCAACAACACATATATTGCTTTTGTATATTAAAAAAAAAGGTTTTTATAAATCATTTTAGGGATTACCCATGCCTTTAAAGTGAAGATCTTTCAGAGTTAACTTTACTTAGCTCTATTACTTATAAAACACTGGTTTTATTTTCTCTGTAATACATCCTTTAAAAACTCCATCTCCAAGCTATACTGAAAAAAGAGAGAGAGAGAAAAAATTGATACAAGTTCTTGATTCCTAAATTGAAATACTTCTTAGGTGATTATCCTGAGTTTAAGACTATACAAGGGGGCTTCCCTGGTGGCGCAGTGGTTGAGAGTCCGCCTGCTGATGCAGGGTACACGGGTTCGTGCCCTGGTCCGGGAAGATCCCACATGCTACGGAGCGGCTGGGCCCGTGAGCCATGGCCGCTGAGCCTGCGCATCCGGAACCTGTGCTCCGCAAAGTGAGAGGCCACAACAGTGACAGGCTCGCGTACCGCAAAAAAAAAAAAAAAGACTATACAAGGAGTAACCGTTTAACCTGATCAAAACAGGACTTACTGTACATCAAGCTATGATAGTTAAACAGCATTGTTATGTCAGACCCTCAAACCTTTAAGGGGCTTTAAATGATACATTGGATGATACAGTATCATCCAATCCCTTGTATTTCAAATTAGGAAACCAAACTCAGAGAATTGGAATGATTTGAGAGTCACTCATTTCATGCCTGAGTAACTAAAAGAAACCAAGATATTATATGGCCGAAATGAACATGAGAAGTTTACACAGAAAATCCAGGCAAATTCTTCAAAAAAACAAAAAGAATGAAATGCTACTCACCGATATGGAAGCCTCTCATAATAAGTCTTTTCCAATGCAGCAAAATGATATCTTGGTTTCAAGCCTGTGGCAAGACTGGAGATCAAAGCAGAGCCACATTTTTTGGTATCCACTTCTCCCTAGTAAATAGAAACTTAGTCATCATAACAGACCTAAGAGTTATCATGAAATGCAGAGATATAACAAGATACTTTGAAATGTCTTTGGAATATTTATGTGGCTATAATGTGGGCAGCAGGATTTGCGTCATGAATTCCATACTTATGGCAATCAGAGAAATCTCAACACATAAGGGGAACTGGGCTATTACAAATGCAGAAATAGGAACAGTTGTTGAAAGCCAGAGGTTAAGGGAGAAGGTAACTCCTCCATACTAATACCCAAAACAAGGTTTATTACAATCTTTTTTTGGAAAGTAAGCACTCTCTCTGGAGCCCACAGACAGTAGTACGTCTGTAAGTTGCTTCATTGTGCTCCTGTAGTTCTGACAATGCAGACAGTCATAGTCATTGCAGAAGATCAAAATTAAAAGCTAGCTTTCAGGGCCCCTAAGATCCATAGAATATTTGCCGTAGAACATTCAAGGACTTCATCACATAAGCATACAATCCTTTATTTTGCTTCAGTCAAGGAAGGTGTGGCTTGTGGAAGGGCACAACTGTGCCCTTGTCACAGTTTGTAATACAAAGTCTGTCAAAAGTTAGGTTTGTTCCCAGAGCTTCCATTAACAATAAATTATGTGCTCTCTCATCCATAACATTATTTATGAACTTCATTCTAAGAGAAGGTATTAACTGGAAATAAAGAAATTACCAGAGTTAATTTTCCACTAAGTAAAGCAAAACCTTCCTTTTGTCTTATGCTTGCCTCCTTCAGGTGTCTGCTGAAGGGCAGGGAACTGGCCTTGAGGTTAGTTACAGTACCTTAGGGACTAGTGAGATATACTGTTTTCTCCCCTATAAATACCTTGTATAATTACTTATAAACTTTCATCAAAATCTACTTTAATCAAAAATTGTAAACTTTTTTAGCACTGCTGTTCATTCTTCCTATCACGTGTCTTTCTCTCATCACCACTTTAGTAGTCTTTCTCTGGATCTTCCCTAGTTCTGCTGTATCTTCTCTACGCTGCAAACAGCACTGCCTCTTGTATACTAGTGGCAGAATAACCATAGGTTTGTGGAAGGGGAAGAAAGTGTTGTCCCTTCTCCCTTCAAAATCCTGACAATGCCTGGTATTTTGTCGGCCTTTTTAGTCATGGACACATTATGTTGAAGTTGGCAGAGTGGTCTACAAGGCCCTTTTCTGGATCATATCTGATAACTCCACATCTAGGAGTTGATATTTGTCCCTAAATGCATTCTTACATTTTCCTTCACTGAAGTTCAGCTGATGCTTTCTGCGCTCACATACAACCTTTGAAGGTCTTCCTTAGGCTGATTTCCACCAAGGTAGCTCCCCATGATAGCTGTCACTCACCAACCTGGTGTACATCCTCTTCCTACAAAAATATTTAGATCGAACGCCATGGCACGCTCCAATACATTCCAACATTAAAGCTTTCCCATTAGAAAAGTACTAAGTTTTCAATATATTGTTTCCCAACTTTAGATCACTATCCTCAATCCCATGATGATTCCACCTTTTAAAATATGTAGATAGCCAAAAAGATATAATCTGGAATGGAAAGGGGAAAATAAAACTACAGAGCTGCCACTAGCTATAAATCTTTTCACTGAAAATTAGTGACCCCTCAAAACTTAAGAAGAAGCTTGAGAAAGGGTACTTGAAGCAGAGAATATAATTTTTTTTTAAAATTCATTTATAAGTAAGACTTCAGCATTCTCTCTTCAGTGAATCATGCTTTCATTAAGATCAACTTTTGCTTTGGTCAGCCAATAAGGCTTTAAGTAACCTGAAAAATTCATAAAAGATTTCTACTGAAAGGAACTAAGAGCTGAAATAGTCACATAAAGAGCAAAAAAGCTCAAATTAAGCCACTGCAATTTGCTTTTAGAAATTCCAACTGAACAAATACTACTCACAGAAGAATTCCCAAAGTTCCCCACATACTTGGGCCATGGGGATGTGAGCAAGATATCAACACCCTTAAACTGGGATGTTGACCACAGCATTGTTCTCAGGGAAAACACATCCTTGGGACTAAAACTGTAACCTGGGACAGGTTCATTTAAGGACTCTGTCCCACTGAGGTACACAATCTGCAGCCCCGAGCTTCCAGTGAAGACACCTTTACGACCTGGGTTCAAAGAAAAATGGACAAGTTTTAGTCAAACTGCTGAATGAAATGTCACTCTGGTGATGAATCTCTTTCCCCATGCCCCACTTCCAGCTCCTAGGTCTCAATGTTGGATGGCTACAACAGTATTCCTATTCAGTAAGTAAGAGCAGTCCTTATGTGAAGGCTGCTGGAGCCCACAGTCTGATTGCCCCAGGTACCTTGCAAATGAAAAAACCTAGGAAGCACTGATTAAGAAAAAGGCTTTCTGCCTTCTAGAGACTCCAAAGGGACTAAAAGATCTAGACACCTGGATACAGGGAGAGGCACTGAGAAGAAAAATAAATAATTGCAGCTGTGAGTAAGCTATAGTCTAGAATAAATGTACTCTTCATGAAGGCAGAAGCTTCCAAATGAAGGAAAACATTTGGAAAAAGCAATTACTTGGGAAAAATTAAGAGACTCTGCCATCTTCTAAATTTATTCATAGCTTGTGCCCTTGATTCCGTTTCCTTCTTGTTGCCACCAGAACCCTGTTCCATCAATTTTCACTTCCCTTTCATCTACTGAGTCTCTTCTTCTCAAATGGTTCTTTCCACATACTAACTCAAAAAGGAACACACATACTAACTAATAAAGGAACACACATATTGACTAACAAAGAATAATAAAGTAAAAAAGGAACACACATACTAATAAAAAAACTATAAAAAGAGCATTTATAGCAAAGGAAATGTAGAAGCTTTCTAAAGAAATGAGAGACCAAGAGAGAGGAAATGTGAAGACCAGTTGAGCCATTTTAGATAAAAGTGAGTTGAATGATCCAAGAAGCAGTAGTGGTGGGGGGAGGGGAGCAAGTAGAGAAGAAAAGCAAAGTTTGACAGTGCTTTTTACAACAGCCAGACACTGAAAGAACCACTAAGAGTTTCAGGGGGTTGTGGAGGAACAATTTTAACCTGGAATTGAAGAGTGGACCTGGAATCAGAAAAAGGACAAAAGCAGTGAAAAACCCAAGTATCAGCACTAAAAACTTGAGTTTTTCAAAACCTCAGTGAAACCTAGAGCTATAGCAAATTAGGAGTCCAATTAACAAATAAGCTGTGTACATCTAGCAATGTTATATGGTGAGACCACATACATAGAATTTTTTTAACACAATTTATACCTGAAGTACTTCAAACACTGTAGTCAAATATTTTATTCCTCTAGTTGGCTGAAAGAGTATATATTGGGTTGTGAAAGTACAAGGAGATTGGGGAGAGGTGGGAGACAACATAGGAAAAATGACATAGTCTTAAAGGTATAGACACTGACTTTAGAAAAAAAACCCTGATCCCCATTCTCTCAGGCAGTAATGGCAGATGAATCCAGCCACAAATTTCCTGGGAGGCTAATTCCTGGGACACATTATGTTCATTACAAACACACAAGATATCAACTTACCCAGATAAGTAATGTTTTCAGCTAATTCACACCCATCAACATCTTGGAAATATTTTACTGTTTCCTGGTTATTGGCACCCAGCACGTATGTCTGAATAGGAGCTAGTGAGAGAAACAGACATGACACCAGCTAGTTACCAGATCTGCTTTGGAACCTGAGAACTGTATCCCCATAGGAAAAACACTTGTAGCAAAAGAGTCTGCAATTCTAGGGAATTCCCTGGCATGGGTTTGATTCCTGGTCCAGGAACTAAGATCCCACAAGCCACATGGCATGGCCAAAAAGAGTCTGCAATCCTATACATGGAACATGGTCACCACATAGGATATCCTACAACCAACCTTGTGGCTTGACTATTAAATGGTATCACTAGGCTGATGAAGTAACATCTTGGAGAGGATGGTCAATGTATAGTTAGGAAAACACAGACCCCAAAGAGCTTAATAAAAAACACTGAAACTAGGGGAAAAAAAGAACACATATGGTTGCATTATTCAATTCCTTCCTACTGAGAAGAGAATTCTTTTTCTAGAACTAAATCCAACCAAATTCAAAATGTGAACATTTAGATATATAGGCATTCTTCCCAGGTCAATGCAGAACTCAAAGGCAAACTCTTCAATCACTAACGTGTGAAAAACAACTAGGCAAGAACCATGTAGCCTTGAAACTTTATTAGAAATCATATGTTAAAAATAAGTTCTGTACCTTTCTTGATGCCAGTTTTATATTCCTCCCATTCAGCATCTGGAGTGGAGCCAAAGAAATTTCCTACACACAACAGCAGCTAAAATGAGTTTTTTAAACAGATATATGAGATTTTTTAATAATATCAAATAGTACATAATTAATTGATAATAACGTTATTGAGCTAATTATCCTATTTAATGATCTCAGTTTTTTCCTTAATCAATTTACAGAATTTGCTTAATCAATTTACAGAATTTCTAAACATAATTTTTTTACAACAATTGTAGTAGTTACTGATTCTATAAATTCCTAAATTTTGGCTCCCTGGATGTCAAATACAAGCTGGGGAAAGAGACAAGAGGGTCAGGGAAAAATGGAGACATCAACCTTAAAAAATCTCTCTGCAAAATACAAAACAATATTAGATACCCTGAGAGATACAGGGCATAAAGGACACATTTCCTGCTTGTTGTCTTACTCAACCTTTAACCCAATGAACAAATTATCCCCATATCTAGAATACTCTTCTGTACTCTAAAAATTTACAGTCTAGCTGGCAACAACACATAACAATTACATAGGACTCTTTAGTCTGTGAAGCATTGGCACATATGCTATCTGAGTTCACTCATACCATATACCCATGAAATAGATCTGTGCTTCCCAAACCCAGGGTCAGAATCACTTAGGGAGGTTCTGCTAGTCTGTTTTCAGTTTTGCGTACAGTAATAAAGTAACAAAATTCAAATTCAAAAAAGTATAGAAGGGTCTACAGTAAACACATCTCCCTTCCCACACCACTTTTCAGCTACTAAATTCCCATGCTCAGAAAAGGAATTCGGACTTCCCTGGTGGAGCAGTGGTTAAGAATCTGCCTGCCAATGCAGGAGACACGGGTTTGAGCCCTGGTCCAGGAAGATCCCACATGCTGTGGAGCAACTAAGCCCATGCACCACAACTACTGAGCCCGTGCTCTAGAGCCCACAAGCCACAACTACTGCGCCCACGTGCCACAACTACTGAAGCCCGAGCACCTAGAGCCCATGCTCCGCAACAACGGCCACAGCAATGAGAAGCCCGTGCACCGCAGAAAAGAGTAGCCCCCGCTCACCGCAACTAGAGGAAGCCTGTGTGCAGCAAGGAAGACCCAATGTAGCCAAAAATAAATAAATAAATTTGTATACATAAGAAAAAAAAAGGAACTCAGTCTAACAAAAAAGGAGAGTATGTGTTCGACTGAGAAATGTATAAAGGAGCCCAAACTTTATTTTACTATGTTTGATTACAACAGTCAAATTAAATGCAGTAAAAAGAAACATCTTACATCAAAGTTTCCACTTTTCTTCTGAATTGTTCGAACTCTATTGAATAAAACATCAAACTTTCCTTCAACATCTCCACATGCCAAGCTGCAAACAAGACATAAATGTTAAGGCAATGCAGGACACACAAATAAGCCTGCCAGGTTTGGTATACACTAGTCTTCCTGGATTAGGGAGATATGTGATCCAGTCTCTGAGGTTACCTGAGAGGTTCACTGCATGTGCACTATTAATGACCACTGGGCAGCTCCACCTAAAGGTCTCACCAATAACTTCACCATATCTAAAATTTAGCTTATCATTTCCTCCAAAATTGAACCAGCTTATTCTCACTTGCCAAGTTTTGTGGCTGAGTCTACTAACAACTTGGTTACCAAGACCCAAAAATCCCCCATCCAGTCATCGTCTCCTCAATTCCTTTTTACAAATACCTTTCAAAGTCATCCTGTCCTTTTCGTTTCCACTACCACTATCTTAGCACAGGGCTTCATTCATCCATTCAACAAACACACTCAGGACATCTACAACATGCTTGCTAAGTGCAGTATGCCAAGTACTATGCTAAGAACACGTTAGGAGTATAAAGAAGAGGGAGACTCAGTTCAAGCCTCAAAGAGTACACAATCAGGGAAGGGGAGATACGCTGATAGTTATAAATTTATATGAACAAGGGCAATAATAGGAGGTATGTGTAAAGTGTTATAGGGTAGGGAGATAGAAACTGACAAGACCTGAGGTTTGTTAGGCAGACTGACCCTAAGTTTTGAGGTAACTTGTTCTATAATCTCGTTTCTGAGTTTTTATACTTTTGACTTACATGGTTTTTCCACTTCTCATATCATTTTCTTAATGTCTTTTAACTCATCTTGAAACATTATAGTTCTTGTTTTGTCAGTATGTCTTTCTGGTGTGCTTTACTGTCCATACCACTGAACATTTTCAAGGTAGTGAAAATGCGAGTAGTGAAACGATCATATCTGTTTTAGAAAGATCATTTTAGTAACAGACTGAAAGATGGTCTGGAGGAACAAGTGACTATAAGCAAAAATACCAGCAAAGAGGGCAATGTCAAATGAAGATGGGGAGGAGAGAAACAGACAAGAAATTTAGAATTCTGAAAACTTGAACACAAATTGGAGTGGAGAAGTAGGAATGGAGGATAATTACAAGGTTGAGCAACTGAGAGTCCTGTAGTTTACGCAGAGGCAGAATCAGAGAGAAATACGGTGAATCTGGTATTGGATACAACGCAGAGGATATACTTACATTTCCTCTAATACTCTCCCTTCTTCCTGTCCACCCTACGTAAAGCCAGCGGTTTAATGT